AGAATGGAACTGGAGATGGTATCCTGTGATTCCAAATAAAGAATGATTGATAGGAAAACGGGATGGAAAACTTTCCTGCAGACTTTTTTGGGGATTTTCCCAGGGTCTCTGGTCCATGGGATTTAAAATTATGAGTTTGGTGGTCCCTGAGGTCCAAATGGTTGGCGACCCATGATCTAAAATTCATGAGAAGGCCATGCCTGCTGTTCTCCAAATCATTTGCACCGTTCTTGTGATGCTTCACAAAGCCTTTGAAAAGCCTCTGAGGCATCCTGAAGCATTATAAGAACAGCATGAGCTTTTTGAAGGATAGTGTGAGTAGACTCTAGAAGAAGGCCTAGCAGAGTCAGATGCTGCCTCACATAGGGCAGGCTGAGCACACCTTTTTAGCAGGAGGGAAAAGATGGGTATAGCAGGAACTGCGGAGTGTGGGGTAGCAAGAGCTTTGAGCTGTGCCACCGGTTGTGGGCTTGAACTGAATTAGAGGCTGGGAGGGGGACCAGCTGACTGAAATTGCTGAAGGCCTTAGGCCTCTACTTCAGCCCCAGGGTTGCCACCACTGCCAAGGAGTGCTGCTGTGCAGGGCAAACAAAAGGGCAGAAATGGGGGAAAGAAAAAAAGGAAGGTTGGGATAAGTGTCCCTGCAGTCATAAATGTGGCCAGACTTCCAAAGATGATCACAGGAGCTCTGCAATGTCTACAATTTTGAGGACCATTCATAAGTACCGTACATTCAGCACCACTGTAACTTCAAACGGTGGCTGAACAAATGGTTGTAAATTGAAAACTACATTGTTATATCTTTGTTGTGCATAGTAGTACATTTATTTTCTGGTGGAAAGTTTATTGTGTCTTACTATGTTGCTGTAAGTCTTAAAGATTCAGCAGCATATAAACGCAACATATAAATAAATGGCACAGTACCTATAAATCTTCAACCCAGTTCTTGGCTACTTACATGCTTCGGTCGTAATGATCCATTTCTTGTTTCCCAGATGGAGATGTGATGCCCGGGTGTGGGAGGCCTGGTGCATGCATTCCAGAGCTAAGCATCAAAGGATGTGTAATCCTGCAATATAACACAGATTTGTTACTGCCTGGACTTCTAATGCATTACATTAGAATGGGATTTGTACAGTAGTTGGACTTGTTTCTAGATGTGGGGAGAGACTGTTTCACAGAACTGTGTGTGGACATTGGTGTAACAGCAAAGTTTGCTGACTTCCATGTAGGCTTGACATTTCCAGAGACATAGCACAATATAAACTGAAGCCTGGGTTTCTAAATTCTTCTGGAACTGCAGCATAATGGATCCTTGGGCACTCAGCTGCTCTATTCTGAATTAGACTGAGAAATACAGCAATGGCAGCCAAGAGCTAACCTGCACTTGAATAGAATTTGGTTTTCAACAAATGTGAGACAAGAGTGGCACTGGGTGGCACTTTCTAACTTGATGTCGTTTTCCCTACAATGGCTGTTGGAGAAAACTAACACAAATATTACATGTCAAAATGACAACCTCCCATCTGCTGCCATCATCTTTGGTTATCCTGAAATTCTGTAAGGAAGCATTCTTCCTGGATGGAGGACACCCAAGAATGCTTTGACACAGCTCTTGGTAAAGCTTATGGCAATGCTGAGTCAGGCAGCGCCAACTCCAACTTGGTATTTTCTTCTTACAATGCCTGTAGTTAAATAAAGACTGCAAGACTTAATTTGCTGTTTGATTAAAGAGCTGTATTTAACAGTTCCTTACTTGTACCTCAGGTTTAAGTTCTAAGAAAAATAAAAAAGGGCTGGGGAAAATTTTATGCTGATTTTCTGGCTTCAGTTGTTTGCAATAATTATTTTATGCAAGTTGTTCTTGCCAAGGAAACTAGGTTGTTGGATGACTAAGTCCATTTTAGATGAGGACCTAGACTTGGCTTAAATACCAATTCTTTGCCAAGAATTTCTTAGCCTAACTTCCTATGATCTGCATGAGATCCTATGGCTTTAGTGCTATACAAATATTGAATGGCCCTTTCCCTTTCTCCAGTAATTCTGAACACAAAGAGGTATTAGAAAGTGAGGGCCACATTCCTTGAGTTTTCATAAAACAGATCATAGGCTAATCGTTTGCACATTCTTCACCAGTTTTGAAGAATACTTTCAGCATTATCGAACTATGCTGTCAATTTACTGAGCATCATGACTAAAGCTTGAGACAGCAGATTTGCCCATGGGAGACAACCAACTGTTCATTAGCTCTGTTGGCACAAAAAGAAATGATGCTTGATATTAATCTACTGGCATAGCTTGAAGCTTGATCATTATCTGTCAAGGTGTGCGTTCTTGTCTGAAAAATCTGCCTCATTTTCTGCTGTTAATGGGAATGCTGCTATGGCAAAGAATGAAACTACCAGATAACTAGGAGGTCTGTAATGCATTTATCTTAAATATTAAGATACTTAGACAGGCACAGGTGCCTGAGGCAGAGTAAACATTAAGGTAATGGCATAATAATACTATAATAGTAAAAATAATGATGTGCCTTTCCCCATTATGATTCCCAGAATGTCTTCATCAAGAGACTTATTAGGACAATACAAAGCAGAAGCCAGAGGAGAAATGCAATGAATGGTGCTTGCACATACATTCCCTGTAGGTTAATGTATATTCCAGATGGACCTTCTCAGTAAAGTAAAGTAAAGAGAAAATATTTATTTTCTCAAGTAAAGAGAAAATAAATTTGGCATCTAGTTCATTCCAATTAACTCCCCCAAATTTACAGCTAAGTGGAACATATCCCAGATCAAATTCTTTTATGATGATCAAGAAAGCCCATGACAAATATGTGTCCCCTTCTGAAGTCTTTTTTTAAAAGTTTTGTATGAGAAATCTGCATACCACTTAGGTGTGGCTGGAGAAATAGAAATAACCTAGGCATTTGTCTGGTATGATAGCACACTCACACTTGCATTGCAATCCTCAACTGTTGCAAATCATTTTGCCACACACTTCCATAGAAGCAAAGCTAGTATTTGATACTAGCTTGTAGCCACCAGGATATTGGTGGAATGAGGGGAAAAGTGTAAACCCTCTGTAACTCAGCAGAACAAAAGTGCAATTGAGAAAAAGCAAAAATGGGCTCAAGGGATGCAGCACATAAGGCAGAAAAACTGGTAGTTTGAGTGCACCAGGTTTTCTGCCCAATTTCTACTTCTGTTAAAGATTACTAATTGAACAAAGTTGTAAGGAAGTCCATTATTTCTCGAAGCTACACCAGGTAGACAATTTTATTTTAAAGGTAGCCAACAAGATATTGCTTCTTTTTCTCTTTTGAGAACCCAGAACAGTTTGAAAAAGAATCACTAGTAAGGACATGTATCGTCATTCTACTGAAGTCCTTAGAAAAGAGCCTTTGCAAAATTCTGCACAGCTTCAAAATCTGAAAAGAGGACTGCGGGTAGAGACCTAATATATAACAAGAAGCATTTTTGAGAGAGCTTAAATAATTGTGGACAATAAAAACTCATTGGAGCATTTTCAGCTCTCCTTCATTTCCATTCCTAGATACTTGACAATAAGAGACATGTTCTTTGGCTTTGCGACATCTTGTGAGGGTTCTCTCTCTCTACTGTCCTACTATTGTTGACCCCAACCAAACTGTGTTTCTCCTCTGGAAGGTCATCCAATTGTTTATTTATTTTCGGTCCGAAAAGTTTGTCTGCTTAAAATAAGAGAACTCCTTCCCTGTTGCTGCCATCTGGACATGAGAGCTTCTCCCTAAATCCTGCAAACTTTCATGGCTTGAATTGCAACAGAAGCAGAGCAACATATCCTGGCTCAGGCAGCTTATACTTACCTGGAGAAAGTAGCCCCAGCAGAAAGCGCCGACGTATAGGGCTGTCTAAATCCACATGACTGGAAAGGGCAGACAGGCTGGCTCTGCCTGGGAGCAGGAAGAAAGAGGCTATAAAGCATCTACACCCATGTCACTTTTCCTGCATACTTTTCCCCCCATTTTTTTGTCTGGATTCATAGCTGGCTAAAGTTGGGAACTTGTATGTTGGGGAAAGGAAAACTTGTTGTTACTCATAGGCTTTTGTCTAAATGTAGACATGAATAGAGAAGAGTTTTCTCTAGAGTTTTTCTCGAACTCCACCAACAATGCTTAAAAGCTACCTGTAATGACTATATGATTAGCTTTGAAATATGGCTAGAGAAGTAGGCTTTCATTCCTGGTTGAGCCACCCAATCAGGTAGAAATGTTTGGCATAACCCTTTCCCCCATGCATCAAGGGATTCATCCAGTCTAGTCACTTGGATGCAAACAAGCAATGCAAAATTAATATTCCTAGAAATCCAGACAAATATTTCTATCATCTATGCCTTCTTTGCACTATTAGAAATCAAGGTCTAAATGAACGTTTCAAAGCCATTTCTTAATTGATGCTCTTGAGTCAGTCTGAAATGACACCAGTTTTATCACTTGTTCTCTTACATAAGTTACACTTACAAACTTGCTCTATTCCAACCATACTCCAAACAGTTACAGAAGATTACATTTCAATAGTGAAAGACATTGTTCTTGACAGCGGCTAGAATTGTATTTGCTAAGAATTGGAAAAATGAAAAAATACCTATGCAGGAGGAAGTTATTAAGAAAATTATGGATTGTGCTGAAATGAGTAAATGGACATTTGAAATTAGAGAGCAAGAAGATAAGCAATTTTATATGATATGGGATTTGTTCTATCAATGGTTGGACAAAAAGACATGGTAATGTAATAGATTAGATAATTTTGTAATAGAAGTTCAATAGATTGATATAAAATATAATACAGACATATATAACCATGGGATGAAAGTACAATATAAATTTCAAAATAAAATTTGAAATATCTCGTATAAAATGATGGAATAAATAGTTTAGTCATGGATGATTAATAACTGATAAATATATAAGCATATGTTAGTTTGACAATGTAAAAATCTATATAAACTGTGAGTAATGACTATGAAAGGATAGCACAAAAGATTTGTAACCAACTGACACACTGTATGTATATAAAATGGAAGATGGTTTTAAAAAATAGTGAAAGACATTGTTTAGCTTTGCACATGTTGACTTTTTTTCCTTTCTAAAAAGGGCTGAAATCTCTTGGGTTTTATTGTAAACACCCCCACTCCAAATTCAAATGCAAATCCAAATCCAAGCACATTCCCAGTGTGCTCTGGGCAAAATACCAAACAAATACATGCATCTTTGGTTATTAGCCAAGACCTGTGTGTGGGATGCAAAGTTGGCAAAAATAATTTAGCATTACATCACAGGGAAACATGAAGTGACAAGTGATCAGAGGACTGGATTGGGAATGCTTCTGCAAAATTCAACTGAATCCAGGACAATATAGTAGATTCTTCTTTATAGAAGCCTCCACATAAAAAATGTAAAAATAGATGATTTATACTTTTTCTACTCTTGTTAAACAGATAATGGCTTGCAATAATCTATAGCTAGGAAGCAGTGGATCATACTGTGAAATTCTGAGAAAGTATCAGTATCTGCTCTAATTACTAATCAGTTTTTAGTAATTAGATTTAGTAATTTTAGTAACTAATCAGACCACATTTGAAGCCTTCCACCTAGGAGGAAATTGCCTACTCTTATTTTAATCCAAACTATGATCTGAGATAGTGTTTCCCCAACCTTGTATCTTCCAAAAGTATGGACTTTTAGTGCCAGAATTTCCTAGCCAGCATGACTATTGTTGAGAATTTGTGGATGTGAAGTCCATCCATTTGGAAGCTGCCAAGATTGGAAAACTCTAATCCAAGACCACAGAACTGTACTTAATTATGATGGGATGAAAGCATCTAGTGGATATCTTGTTAAGAATCAAGAATTTAATTAGTATATACTGCTCAGCTATCTCAAATACAGGAACAACCATGCTGAAAGCAATGCTGGTGAAAACTCGTGGCAAGGTCAAAAGGCTGGAAAGCATGTCTTAATTGTGGGGAAGATCATCAAACTTCAATAGATTAGATCTGCAGGTGTGGACAAAGCCAAAAGGAAAAATGTGCACTAATGGTGTTAGCATTGAAAGAGATTTCCCATTTTACAAGGACATATGCAATGGAACCACATAATGTGAAATGAATGAATGAATATACCTCAACCTTTTGAATGCAGAAAAGAAGCACATTAAGGAAAGAGTAATTTTATATGGTCTGGAATAAGTCAAATTTAAATGAGATGATATATTCAGGGTATGAGACCGTAAGAAGGAATAAAATAGCGAAGGCAATGGTGTGACAACAGAATGGAAAGAATAATTATAATTATGTGTTCAGTTATAATCCAGTAAATCATAACAATTGAAATTAATGTATTTTCAATGAACATGGTTACATGGTTGCACAAGGTTATGTATTCACTACAACACAGGGGAAAGAGGATTCACTACCTCTTTGGGGAAAGAGGTAGGCTATGGCAAACCTTAAGTGGAACTGAATGAAACACATTGACATGCAGTAGTACTAATGGATAATTACAATGCAAAAGAAACAAGAAGATTTCAAATGGGCAAATACAATAATGCAGGACGTAGAAAGTTAAGAATTCTGTGATCAGAATTATTTTTGTTATTTATATTTATTTTAAGCAATATAAATACAGATTATACACTGGAACATTAACTACATAATATCCTGGTCATCTCTCTTAAGGATTATGCAATGAGCTCTACATGAGGCCGTCTTTAAACAGTATCTGGAAACTGCAGCTGGTGCAGAATGTGGCTACATGAGGAGTCTTGGGCCTCCGAGGATTGTGCAAGGAACCCCTCTGCACCATGAGCTGCACTAGATGCCAGTTTGGTTCCAAGTCCAATCCATGGTTCGGTTATTGCCTTTAAAGCAATAACCGAATATGGCATGGGCCATTGCCCCTGCCCTACTGGCATCTAGTGCAGCTCATGGTGCAGAGGGGTTCCTTGCACAATCCTCGGAGGCCCAGGTCACCCAAGGAACCATCTTGTCCCAGTTACATCAACCTGTCCCACACCATCAGGCAGAGAGGATATGTTAGAGACCTATCAGTTAAGAATTTCAACTGGCAGAGTTTAAGAAAAGAGCCTTCTCTGCCATTGCCCCTGCCCTATGGAATATCTTGTCTTTAGAGGTGAGGTGGGACCCACCAGAAGGATGTGAAGACCTAGCTCTGCCAACTGGCATGGTGGAATCAAAGAGTGGCTCACAACCCTGAGATTGGTGGTGGCTTGATGGTGCTCAAGATTAAAAGAGCTTTCAGAATAAGCTACCCAAATAGCTAGTGAAAGGTAGAGAATGAAAGCCTTGGGTAACAAGTGGCATAAAATGACGGAATATAGATTTTCAGTTTCAAATAAGAAAGGACAAGTGAAGCTATCTCAATCAAGAATGTCACCAAATAAAATAATGTATCATGAAAAGAACAAGTGAAGAAAATCAGAATTAACCCTCAAAATATACACAGCCATTATTCAAGCGATCTAATAGAGGCAAAGAAGTCTAAAAAATGTGGAAGTCCTAGAATGAAATATTAGTGAGACACTGCACTAGATGTTTATTTGAGCAAAAATTAGGGCCTTAGAATAAAAAATAAAGACACATATAGGTTGAAACCAGAAGGATTAGGTGATAACATCCAGAGAATATCTATTTCTGCTGGCATTGTCTTCATCTTCATCTTTCTTAGTTAACATAGTTATTAATACCAGAAGACAAATTGAGGTACAAAGAGAAGGAAATATTAAGTCTTTATACTTTCTAAAGTCCCAGTTTTCTATGTTCCATTCCCGGACACACCTGTGATTCTTAATTGCAGAAAAACTAAGTGAGTATTCAAACTTATTTCAGAAAAGTTGAAATCAAACTGTTTAAATTGGGGGAGGGGGGAAGGAAAAGTATAAATGACACCTGCATGATTATATTTTAGAGTCTTCAAAGACAAGGTGGCTTCCCTTTCAACCTAGATATGTTGCCAATAGGAAGAAAACCTAAAGAGGAAGATCTCTGGCAACATTACTTCCCTTTCCAAGATACCAGAAGTTTGAAATCACCATAGAAGAAACAAGATGTCTAGATAAAAGGAAGACAAGAAGATAGCAGAGAAGCAAAATGGGTTTTCTACATCTGTTTTTGCTGTGAAAAGTATTTGTTGGAGAAAATGGTTATACCTGTATGGCTATTTGAGGAGGGATAACATCTGAAAATGTATGCCAAGTAATAATATTTGCACAATAACTTATCAGTAGAGCCAGATAATTTTCATCTGAATAATTCAAATGAGAACTTGTCAATCTCTAACAAAAACAGACAAATTACTGTTAAAATAATTTCCAGAGAACAGAAAGCCAAATAAAACCATTTTTAAATATGTGCATGTTTGTGGTGTGGTACCAGAGAAGAACAGAACAATTCGGATAATGCCTATCTCAAAGTAGTAGGTGAAAACAGTGATTAAATGCAGGTTTCTTACACTCTGAAACCTATAAAAGAACAAATCTTTGTGTGGAAAATCAGTAGAAGCTTGGTAAAGAGAAGTCCTTCAAATTGTAGCTTTTATTTATTTATTCATTTATTGTTTATTATTTATTATTTGTTTATTCATGTAAGAAGCATAGTAGCATACCTTTTGAGAGTTATCGACAACCTTGCAAAATCAGCACACTCTGGATCTTGCTTTTATGAAATATATCTTTTTTATGGATTCTTAAACCCAGATGGGTTGAAATGAATTCTTTGATTAAAAAAAACACCTTTTGATAAAGACTTCCCATTCTTTAGAAATATAGGTCCTCTTACGCTCACAAATAAATTAAATGCAAAACAGACAAGTATAACTGGAGAGTTCTGATTATGAGGGAAAGTAAATGATCACTGAGCTAAAGCTACTTAATTAAA